GAACGTGAAACAGTTGCTGCTGATAACAGTGATGATGAAGACTATGGTGATAATTGTGATGGTTGTAATGAGTGAGTTTAGTTTAACGCCGCACACAGCAATATTCCAGCTATATGGCAGCGGTCTGTAAATAATCGAGTCTGGACCAGACAATCCAGTGATCAACAGCATGAGCATCGATCTGCGCAATTGGGAACCGATGACATGTGTCAACCAAGTCAGCGAGCCTGACCAAACGATCACGTTAGTCGCCTCTTACGACAAGCATGGGTTAGTGAAGATCAATTCTAACCCGGACCTTCATGGGTTTGGTTGTAATGAACGTGATACAATGACAATGACAATGACAATGACAATGACAATGACAATGACAATGTATTCAATATGGAGGCCACATGGCCTAAAGTACATTTAATATACAAGAATACAGTGCACAGCGGTGTACAATGTAGAAGAACAGGTTGAGTACTGTAGAGTCGATATACTCAGACTGGCAAGTTTCGTTTCAAGTTAATACTTCAAGCTAGTATGTGATCCTCGTCAACTGATGTCAACAACAGATAATATTTAACACGTGATGGGTTAACATGATAGTAGGATGGAATAATCTTCTTGCGGCTTTCAGAATAATAGGGGCAGATCAGTAGAAAATGATACTCGTCCTCAATATTTAATTTATGTGAAAGACAACGAAACTTACATAGAATTCTTCTCAAATCGTGTTTGTCAGCAAGTGAGGATAAGTATTTCTCAGGAGTTAACAATGATTTCAACTCAGAGTATGCACCCAGGAAGTGTGAATTACTAATCTTAAAGTGCCAATCTTGAAACTGAATATCTTTGCAACGTTGATGAAACTGCTGTATAAATATGTCAATATAACCACAATCCTGGTCGATCAAACATAGGAAAACCCGGTGTACCAACGTAATAATCTAACTCTTGACACCCAATTTGTTTTCCCATTTTCACCGTATACCTTAAACATCCCATAACAGGCCTTTGGATATCTACTAGATTCCATACATAACAGTCGACACCAGTACGTGACACAGCGAGTATAATATCTCACACAAAGCGGGTATCTGCCTGTCTCAGCGAGGATGGCATTTGTGGATACTATCTTACTGATACCTATACATCTCTTAAAGAAGTTTCCTTGTACTTTCTCGATTGCATCTCTTTTTGTGAAGCCCCAGATGTCTGACCCATACAATAGAATAGGAACAATGTTAGAATAAAAAATCTTTAAAACACTATTGAAGGAGATAGTTGGATATTTTCAATTGCTGTACTGGAAAAAGTGCTTTAGTGGCTTGTAGAGCTAGAGCTTCACAGGCTTTGGACCAACATAGTCTAGATGAAAATATAATTCCAAGATATTTATAGTAAGTTACAGTCTGCATTTCAGAACCCCTATAATACCATTTCTCGGCAGATTTTAAGTAACCCTCATTTCCAAAAAAAATGATATTTGACTTCTGACACCGCGAGACACCATAACACATCCCTGTCCTTGAAGGGTGACTGTATCTACAACTTGACACCGCGAGACAACATAACACACCCCTGTCCTTGAGGGTGACTGTATCTACAACTTGACACCGCGAGACACCATAACACATCCCTGTCCTTGGAGGGTGACTGTATCTAAACCTTGACACCGTGAGACACCATAACACACCCCTGTCCTTGAGGGTGACTGTATCTACACCTTGACACCGCGAGACACCATAACACATCCCTGTCCTTGGAGGTTGACTGTATCTACACCTTGACACCGCGAGACACCTTAACACATCCCTGTCCTTGGAGGGTGACTGTATCTACAACTTGACACCGCGAGACACCATAACACATCCTTGTCCTTGGAGGGTGACTGTATCTAAACCTTGACACCGCGAGACACCATAACACATCCCTGTCCTTGAAGGGTGACTGTATCTACACCTTGACACCGCGAGACACCATAACACCGCGGACACCATTACACATCCCTGTCCTTGAAGGGTGACTGTATCTACACCTTGACACCGTGAGACACCATAACACATCCCTGTCCTTGAAGGGTGACTGTATCTACACCTTGACACCGCGAGACACCATAACACATCCCTATCCTTGAAGGGTGACTGAATCTACACCTTGACACCGCGAGACACCATAACACATCCCTGTCCTTGAAGGGTGACTGTATCTACACCTTGACACCGCGAGACACCATGACACATCCCTGTCCTTGAAGGGTGATTGTATCTACACATTGACACCGCGAGACACCATAACACCGCAAGACACCATAACACATCCCTGTCCTTGAAGGGTGACTGTATCTACACCTTGACACCGCGAGACACCATAACACCGCAAGACACCATAACACATCCCTGTCCTTGAAGGGTGACTGTATCTACACCTTGTATTCAGCACCAAGTATGATACCGAGACATTGTCTCTCTGCACAGACCACCCTTATCCTATCCCTTGAAGGGTGACTGTATCTACACCTTGTATTCAGCACCAAGTATGACACCGAGACATTGTCTCTCTGCACAGGCCACCCTAATCCTATCTCTTGAAGGGTGACTGTATCCACACCTTGTATTCAGCACCAAGTATGACACCGAGACATTGTCTCTCTGCACAGGCCACCCTAATCCTATCTCTTGAAGTGTGACTGTATCTACACCTTGTATTTAGCACCAAGTATGACACCGAGACATTGTCTCTCTGCACAGGCCACCCTAATCCTATCTCTTGAAGGTTGACTGTATCTACACCTTGTATTCAGCACCAAGTATGACACCGAGACATTGTCTCTCTGCACAGGCCACCCTAATCCTATCTCTTGAAGTGTGACTGTATCTACACCTTGTATTTAGCACCAAGTATGACACCGAGACATTGTCTCTCTGCACAGGCCACCCTAATCCTATCTCTTGAAGTGTGACTGTATCTACACCTTGTATTCAGCACCAAGTATGACACCGAGACATTGTCTCTCTGCACAGGCCACCCTAATCCTATCTCTTGAAGGTTGACTGTATCTACACCTTGTATTCAGCACCAAGTATGACACCGAGACATTGTCTCTCTGCACAGACCACCCTAATCCTATCTCTTGAAGGGTGAATGTATCTACACCTTGTATTCAGCACCAAGTATGACACCGAGACATTGTCTCTCTGCACAGACCACCCCAATCCTATCCCTTGAAGGGTGACTGTATCTACACCTTGTATTCAGCACCAAGTATGACACCGAGACATTGTCTCTCTGCACAGACCATCCCAATCCTATCCCTTGAAGGGTGACTGTATCTACACCTTGTATTCAGCACCAAGTATGACACCGAGACATTGTCTCTCTGCACAGACCACCCCAATCCTATCTCTTGAAGGGTGAATGTATCTACACCTTGTATTCAGCACCAAGTATGACACCGAGACATTGTCTCTCTGCACAGGCCACCCTAATCCTATCTCTTGAAGTGTGACTGTATCTACACCTTGTATTCAGCACCAAGTATGACACCGAGACATTGTCTCTCTGCACAGGCCACCCTAATCCTATCTCTTGAAGTGTGACTGTATCTACACCTTGTATTTAGCACCAAGTATGACACCGAGACATTGTCTCTCTGCACAGGCCACCCTAATCCTATCTCTTGAAGGTTGACTGTATCTACACCTTGTATTCAGCACCAAGTATGACACCGAGACATTGTCTCTCTGCACAGACCACCCTAATCCTATCTCTTGAAGGGTGAATGTATCTACACCTTGTATTCAGCACCAAGTATGACACCGAGACATTGTCTCTCTGCACAGACCACCCCAATCCTATCCCTTGAAGGGTGACTGTATCTACACCTTGTATTCAGCACCAAGTATGACACCGAGACATTGTCTCTCTGCACAGACCATCCCAATCCTATCCCTTGAAGGGTGACTGTATCTACACCTTGTATTCAGCACCAAGTATGACACCGAGACATTGTCTCTCTGCACAGACCACCCCAATCCTATCCCTTGAAGGGTGACTGTATCTACACCTTGTATTCAGCACCAAGTATGACACCGAGACATTGTCTCTCTGCACAGACCACCCCAATCCTATCTCTTGAAGGGTGAATGTATCTACACCTTGTATTCAGCACCAAGTATGACACCGAGACATTGTCTCTCTGCACAGACCACCTTAATCCTATCCCTTGAAGGGTGACTGTATCTACACCTTGTATTCAGCACCAAGTATGACACCGAGACATTGCTGCTTCATAAGTATGTTACATAATATACACTAGCAAACCACAAAACTGTCATTTGAGAAATGAAACATATATTGGCTACGGCTGACATAACAACTGACTCTATGTCCTGTTGAATGAGACGTTTCACTCATCAAATTCGGTTTCCGGGTTCGAATCCTCAGCTACCTATGCTGGTCATCTGAGCTGGCCTAATCCATCGGAAGGACTGGCTATGTTGACTGTGTGATCCTCGTGTGGATCGTTGCTCATGACATAATTCACTGTCTGGTTCAGATAATGTCGGCTGTTTTATGTGCCTGGAGTATTTCTAAGTTCAGTGTCAATAAACAAAGGTACCAGATTTAAAGTTATATGGTGTACCATGTATGTGAGTGAGTATGGTTTTACGCCGCTTTTAGCAATATTCCAGCAGTTTAACGGTGGGGGACACCAAAAATGGGTTTACACATTGTGCCCATGTTGGGTTTCGAATTCGGGGCTTCGGCGTGACGAGCGGACGCTTTAACCACTAGGCTACCCCATCGCCCCGTACCATGTATGTAGACACAGATGCAGCCAAATGTAGCAAAAAAGTTACTATTATTAACGTTGCTCATCTGATACACAATGGCGGATGTATTTTAGAAATCATGTTGAGTCTCATTTCACTTTGTTACAGGTATGTTCAAAATGTCATTGCATCCTTCCAAGCCAATCTAACTGATGTTACCCAACACTTCCAACTTACCTTCACTTCTCCGGCAATATCCGAAAATGTTGAAGATGTGTCTCCAACCAATAATGGGTTCAGCAGATTCGTCATTCTCGTGCACAACAAATAGTATCCCGAGTCAACAACAGCCATGCCATGAAGGAAACTCTCGGCGTGCAGAGGACGTTTGTGATCCTACCGAAGCCAATATGGCGGCCGAGCTGATGGGCGACTAAAGTTGACGGTCCCCGCGGCAGCAGCTGTTACAAGTTCAATACCAGTATATCTAGAAACAGATGGGTCGTTGAATCCTGTGTGTCACTGTGTGGTGTAGCGTGAGGGAATGTTAGATGGTATCTGTGTGGTTCTCAGTCAACAAACAGCATGAAATGATTGTGGCTTATTAGAGGGTATTACTGAGCAATTTACCAGGGGTGAGGTGACACAAAGTAGGCGATCTCGTCCTATTGTTTTGAAACGCAACGTTATAAATTTGAACTAATTTCCCTGTTTTCCCATGTTTAATTCGTATAGATGGATTCTAATTATTGTAGATTGATTTGACCTTCCCATCACATATATGTTATCGATTGTGAAAATGTGACTTACCACTTAAAGTATTTATGGTCAGATTTCTCATATTCTGTCCTGCCCTTTTGTGAACGGCCTTAGAAAATTAAAAGGACATCGTTAGGCTGGGACTCGATAACCCAGACAACTGAGTAACCGTGGTTGACATTAACGGGGTTTTAACATAGAGAGTTAAAGTGATAATGTCATGACTGCAACTGCGACGGGATCAGTTGTCAGATCTTGTGATATTCAGTTTGGGTGTGGCAGGCTCCCGTCGTAAGGTCAGATTCATTCAGATCAAGGCGTAAACTTTGAAAGTAAACTGATAAAAGAACTTGCATGGAAATGGAAAAATCGCGTACCACTGCATATAATCCAATGTGAGCATTTTAACAGAACGTTGATGAATATGCTTAGAACATTGGACACTAACATAAAGGCAGATTGGAAAACCCATGTGGGACCGCTTGTTCATGCCTACAACTGCACAAACCACGAATATATATACCTCGCATATGGTCGGCATCCAAGATTGCCAGCAGACATTGCTTTGGGGATTGATATGAATCCAGGCTATGGAAATCTACTATCATACACAAAGACACTGCGTCAGCGGCTTCAAGCTGGCATCAGACGTATCTATCAAATCACAAGAAAAACTAGAGGAGCTGGAATTCAGATAGGTGATAGGTGATGGGGAAAGTTGTAGCACATCATGAGAGACACAAGCTGTAAGACAAAGGGAATTCAGATAGGTGATAGGTGCTGGGGAAAGTTGTAGCACATCATGAGAGACAAGCTGTAAGACAAGTGGAATTCAGATAGGTGATAGGTGCTGGGGAAAGTTGTAGCACAACATGAGAGACACAAGCTGTCAGACAAAGGGAATTCAAATAGGTGATAGGTGCTGAGGAAAGTTGTAGCACAACATGAGAGACACAAGCTGTAAGACAATTGGAATTCAGATAGGTGATAGGTGCTGGGGAAAGTTGTAGCACATCATGAGACACAAGCTGTCAGACAAGTGGAATTCAGATAGGTGATAGGTGCTGAGGAAAGTTGTAGCACATCATGAGAGACACAAGCTGTCAGACAAATGGAATTCAGATAGGTGATAGGTGCTGGGGAAAGTTGTAGCACAACATGAGAGACACAAGCTGTAAGACAAGTGGAATTCAGATAGGTGATAGGTGCTGAGGAAAGTTGTAGCACAACATGAGAGACACAAGCTGTAAGACAAGTGGAATTCAGATAGGTGATAGGTGATGGGGAAAGTTGTAGCACATCATGAGAGACACAAGCTGTAAGACAAGTGGAATTCAGATAGGTGATAGGTGCTGGGGAAAGTTGTAGCACAACATGAGACACAAGCTGTAAGACAAAGGGAATTCAGATAGGTGATAGGTGCTGGGGAAAGTTGTAGCACATCATGAGAGACACAAGCTGTAAGACAAGTGGAATTCAGATAGGTGATAGGTGCTGAGGAAAGTTGTAGCACATCATGAGACACAAGCTGTAAGACAAGTGGAATTCAGATAGGTGATAGGTGATGGGGAAAGTTGTAGCACATCATGAGACACAAGCTGTCAGACAAGTGGAATTCAGATAGGTGATAGGTGCTGGGGAAAGTTGTAGCACAACATGAGAGACACAAGCCGTAAGACAAGTGGAATTCAGATAGGTGATAGGTGCTGGGGAAAGTTGTAGCACATCATGGGAGACACAAGCTGTAAGACAAGTGGAATTCAGATAGGTGATAGGTGATGGGGAAAGTTGTAGCACATCATGAGAGACACAAGCTGTAAGACAAGTGGAATTCAGATAGGTGATAGGTGCTGGGGAAAGTTGTAGCACATCATGAGAGACACAAGTTGTTAGACAAATGGAATTCAGATAGGTGATAGGTGCTGGGGAAAGTTGTAGCACATCATGAGAGACACAAGCTGTCAGACAAGTGGAATTCAGATAGGTGATAGGTGCTGGGGAAAGTTGTAGCACATCATGAGAGACACAAGCTGTAAGACAAATGGAATTCAAATAGGTGATAGGTGCTGGGGAAAGTTGTAGCACATCATGAGACACAAGCTGTCAGACAAGTGGAATTCAGATAGGTGATAGGTGCTGGGGAAAGTTGTAGCACATCATGAGAGACACAAGCTGTAAGACAAGTGGAATTCAGATAGGTGATAGGTGCTGGGTGAAAGTTGTAGCAAAGTTGTAGCACATCATGAGACACAAGCTGTAAGACAAAGGGAATTCAGATAGGTGATAGGTGATGGGGAAAGTTGTAGCACATCATGAGACACAAGCTGTAAGACAAGTGGAATTCAGATAGGTGATAGGTGCTGGGGAAAGTTGTAGCACAACATGAGAGACACAAGCTGTAAGACAAGTGGAATTCAGATAGGTGATAGGTGCTGAGGAAAGTTGTAGCACATCATGAGAGACACAAGCTGTAAGACAAGTGGAATTCAGATAGGTGATAGGTGCTGGGGAAAGTTGTAGCACATCATGAGAGACACAAGCTGTCAGACAAGTGGAATTCAGATAGGTGATAGGTGCTGGGGAAAGTTGTAGCACATCATGAGAGACACAAGCTGTAAGACAAAGGGAATTCAGATAGGTGATAGGTGCTGGGGAAAGTTGTAGCACATCATGAGAGACAAGCTGTAAGACAAGTGGAATTCAGATAGGTGATAGGTGCTGGGGAAAGTTGTAGCACATCATGAGAGACACAAGCTGTAAGACAAGTGGAATTCAGATAGGTGATAGGTGCTGGGGAAAGTTGTAGCACATCATGAGAGACACAAGCTGTAAGACAAATGGAAGCAGGAGGTGTATACTGTCACTGATCAATCAATCGTTGGAATCCCTGTATATGTGGTTTCACCTTAATTGGATGATAGTAGGACAAGCACTCTCCATCGCAAACACTTGTTGCCGATAGAACATTTACTATGTCGGGAAGATAATCAGTCTATACCTAGTATACATAAGGATACACCAGAGTCTGAGAATGATTTTACTGAAGCTGAATCCACCTGTCCAGATGATGACCTCGATCCTATTGATACAGTTCCTGTCTTGAGTACAGACTCAGCTGCACATGGATTACCTACAGTGTCCACTGGAGTTGCACCTGAGCTGAAAGATATGGAAGACGTTCAACAGGATGGTGACGATCATCCAGATGTTGAACAAAACCAGGAATCTGATATGGGGTAAAAAAAAGGGGAGGGAGGATGGATGGAGATGAGACTGGATCTCAGATGACTGTCCCAGAAACTGTTGCTGATACAGAAACCGAGACTGCAGAACTAAAAAGTACTTTTTTTTTACATGTAGTGTCAGTAACTGAGGCACAGGAAACTCTAGTAGATATTGTGGACATCAATGAGGCTGAAAGTGGCATCAGAACACTCGAAAGATGAAGAGCAAACTTTACCTCATCGATCTGCTAGGGACAGAAGGAAACCAGACACAAGGGGGGAGTGTGTAGCAGTGACGTGTCACGTTGTATTTTATATATTGGAGTTTGTTGTATTATAATGTAAATGAAAAGTTATACAAATTTTAAAGCATTTCTTGTTTGTGTTATACAGTTTAGTTGGAAACAGTATTATTCATGGTATTCTCTTAGCCTGTTGTCTGTGTAGGCCAGGTTGATGAATATGCATATCACGTGCATTCCATGTTAATGGGAATCGTTGTTATAATATTGAGGATTTATTTTGATTGGCATCTGCTTCAATAAGATTACGAGGGTCGGTCAAAAAGTAATCGGCCTCACCTAGAAAAGGATTCAAATGCAGCTGTTTTTAAAAGAAAAGCAAGATTAATGTATGTCAACTTCTTTATTTTGAACAACACGAAGTTTGGGAGTGTATGCTTCCTGCTGATGAAACTTGGAAAAAACACAAAATCTGCAATAAATACACAAACTTCAGGAAACAAAATATGCAAAAAAACCTTTAGTGTGTTTTTAAATAGGTAGAAGCTAGAATCAAGCTTTGATATTAAAGTGCATAAAAAAGCAATTTGAAACTAACAATCGCTTGTTAAAGTGACTTCCCTTCCTGTTCACTGAAAGAGGTTAACGTTGTTTTGAAGTTACTACCCACCCCCTTTCAGATGATGTAATCATAAGGACATAACTTATTCTAATGTTTTAACTTATTCATACATGGTGCCAAGGGTTCCAACTTAACGGTCACACAAGTGTCAGCTTTCAATATATTGTAAACATGGCCACCTTGAATATCTGAACACAAAGGTTTTGAAAGACGGAAATATATTGTCCTTAAAAAACAGCCCCCATTTAAATATAAATCAAGCAATGCAAATCTTTGAATGTTGATTATGACGGGAAGTCATCCAACATTATACTGAACATAGTTCATATGATATACTGAGTCAAAAAAGAAACTTCACATTCTTTCTTCAGGGCACCATAAAAGAACAAGAGATGGTAAGATGGTTATATTGTTATTATTTCATTGCTGAGATCTGTGTGATGTACTCGATACACTGACAGTGCCATAATCAGTTCCATTAGGCTACACCGCCGTTCCAAAACATGGGTATACAGAATGTCAAGTCACAAGAATAAAAATGCGAAATTTCTCAGTTCAATATCGTGTATGGCCGCCCCGCGCATTCACCACTGCCAAACACCGTCTCCTCATCGACTGCCTGATGCTTGTGAACACGTGGTTGGGGATTCTGCGCCATTGCTCTTGCAAGGCAGCGCCAAGTTCCTGCAAATTCTGAGGTTGGTTCCTAAGACCACGAAGCC